GCCAAAAAATAAGCTTGTGGGCTTGTGGCCTGGGCTGTCTCTGGTGTCTTGCAAGGGATTCCGTAACCTGCTGCCTCTGCTGCCTGGTTTGCTGTTACCAGTCTTGGGTCGATTTCTGCTTGATGAATCTCAGAGATAAATAGTATAAAAGCAGGAAGCTGCAAACGACACCAGTGAGGACGAGGTAGCTTACGTAGAGAGGATGGGAGTCCAGGTCCAGAGCCTGCATGACCTGTAACCACAAATTACACAAAATTAGGAAGGGACGCAAAATTTTCGTGCTGCATCTGTGCAGTGCATTTTATGTGCAAGCTTGCCTGGGCCTTGCTACCTTTCCCCTTCTTTCCAGCTGAATGTGACTTTCAGAGTTGTTTGAGAGCTGCTTACAGCTACGCTGTGTCTAGTGGCCCTGGTCTTTGAGAGAAAGAAAGTGCAACTTCTGAACAGTTTCAGCAAGCAAGTAGCTGAGGCTTGTGTGGAAACAGTTGCCCTTTATTCTTTTTTTTCCTTTCTTTCTTTTTTTCCCTCCCACCAAAAAGAAAGACGTAAAAGGAGAGACTGCTATAGGGACAAATTTAAAATATACTGAGTGTAACATGACTTCACATATTGATTTAGTGCTCACCAAATTTGAGGCTACAATATCTACTTAAATATGATGGGCATGCAATCAGCACTGATTGGCTATCAAGTGTTTGTGACAATATTTATTAGTGACTTACGAGTTTCCCTGGTATTTTAAAAGTCATATTTCCGACAGTCATTTCATATGTGAGGTCGGTGAACTGAATTTGCACCATGCTTTGAAAATTCCATCTGAGAAAAGAGATTTTGGAAACCCAGAATGGAACTGGAAAAAAAAAATGGCAGAAAGAAAGAAATTGATACTCATACACAAAACTTGACCCCTCAAAAACTGCTGTGTTGCTGCCAAACACAGCAGATTTGTCAATTTTTTTGACAGCCAGAGGCTGTAAATATAACAGTTTATTGTTGGACAAAATAGCAGATATACTTCATGCCATTACAGTGACTTGTATGGAATGGAGTACCTTTTTTGGTCAGGTTTGGGTCACCTATCCTGTTCATTCCTCACCAGAGGTGCAACTTTTTACTTCCTTGCAACCCTTTTACTTCCTGGTACCCCCAGCATGGCACACAAGACCTTGGTCACTACAGGAATAAGTATAAGCAAGAGCCTTTCTGCATACAGATCTCTGGCAGTAACTAGAAACATCATGCGTTGTGGCTTCCAGTAGCAGACACTCTCTGCAAAAACATGCTGCTAACTTCAGAAAGCACAGCCTCTTAGAAGAGCCGGAGCTGAAAAGCAGCATCACTGAATGGAGAATTGGTTCTGTTTAGCTCAAATCAGGACATGCATGGAGACGGAAAATTAGGCGAGTGATAATATCCATATCTGTCAAACTCCCACTCTCAACTAAGTCTCACTGGAGCTCAGTATTCATCTACTGAATATAATTAGTTTTTTCTGGAAAAGAAATAGCAGCCACATAAGAATTGAGCCTTTCACTAGTGCTTTTTTAACCAAACTTCTTAGTACTTCATCCTCAGATGGAGAAACTGGTGCAAAATGAATAGTCTGACTCCACCGTCACTACCCAAGGAGACAATTGCAAAGGTAGGAATAAAACTGAATTTTCTTGCACAGGACACACTCAGCCTCTCAACAACCAGTCACTGATGAAAGACATCAATGTTTCATGTTGAAGGGATGGTGGGAGCTTTGTCTTACCTGTCCAGAGGTTTTCCAGGCTTATTACAAAACCACCGCTTAGGTAGAATGATGTGAAAAGGACATTTCCAAAGAAGGCTGAGAGCTGTAGCGTGGGCAGCAGTGCTGCCACCCAAAGTGCCATCGTGCGGGCGCTGTACACAGCCAGCCACACCGAGAGGAGGTTCAGTTCAGGAACAGGGTTTGCCAGCCAGTAGATGGGAACCCCATAAATTATAACAAAAGCACAGTGTTCTGGGAGTTCGCCCAAAATCTGTTCAGGAAGAAAAAAAAAGAGTAAGTTGAACGTGGTAGTTACGCAGCCACCTGAGAATGCACCTTAACGTACTTTAAGGACCATTTGTAAAAACTACAGGCAATACTGCCTTAGAATGCAGTCCTCTCCCTGCTGGGTGTTGTCAGTGCCATGCAAAAGCAATCCACAGCAGAAGTTGAAATTCTTACTACTTTTTCTCCAGTTGTGACAATTCCTATAACTGTTTGTTAAATTGAGAGGATTCTGATCACAGGTTAGATGTTTAGTTTTGTTAAGGTTTTGGCAGCTTCTAAGAATTTAAGACACTTTCCATGAGAACTGGTGTGCTTGATAACACTTAATACTGTTACTAACTCATGACAACTGTGTGTTTTGTCCACATTTGGTTGAACCTGGCATGAGATCCAATTTGAGACAAATTTGGCTGTTGGTCACTTTCCCACTTTGTCCCAAAGGCAGTTCAGTTAGTAACTCCTTAACTCATTGTAAAACAAAAACATGCTTAGAATTTTCTCAAATATCTAAGGATATGTATAGAGAGTATTATGATTATTTCTTCCAAAGAGGGTTGCTACTATCCTCTTAATACTAAGGTTGTAACAAATTACATCGATTTCTCTATGAATAATGTGCAATCTTTGTGACACAATGCAAAGAATATTTTTCTCTGGCAACCACTAATAAGCATTTAAAATCTTGTGCAGAAATGGAAACCTAAATTACAGATGCCATGGCAGGCAGAACTCATCTAACAGTGGCAACATCACAAAGAAAGGATTATTTTAAACCCTTGAGAAAAAAAAAGAGAATGTAGTTTTTTGAAATTCTTTATTTCCAGAAACTCTGGCTCTTTATGCACTTAATACAATCGTCTCTGGCCAGCACAGGCCCACACAACTATTGAAAATGTCACAGTTAGTATTTTGTCATTTCTGTTTTACCTTTGTTTTAGCATTTAATATGAGACTTCTAATCAACTTTTCAAAGATGCTTCAGTGAATGAAATATGCAGGTGTGTAAAACTGTCTAAACTCTCAAATTTGAGCTTGAAGTTTCTCAAATTTTAGCCAAACAACCCAGTGAAAAATTCTTCTTCAGCTTTCCTGGGGTGGGATCTCAGCCATGACTTATGGCAACAGATCTAAAGTAGTGTGAGGTTTAATCCATTAATGCCAAGAAAGCAAGAACGATAGCCTGAGCTGGCAGACACAAAAGAACAAAGTCTGATATGAATGTGATCATTTATGCAGTGAGGCTTTGGTTTGGTTTTGTTTTTTAATGTTAAAGCCAGCTGTTTTGTATTTCCTGGCAACAAAACCAGTTACCTTAGCAAAGAAGTATGGGCTCACAGAGTACATGCCGTCTTCCAAGTCATTATAAAGCATAGCTCTTTCTGAATGACCTGCAGGGTAAGAACAAACAGGTTGTTTTCATCCTAGACTTGCATTAGTAAGGGTAATTTTTTCATTGATTTAGATATTTTATGTTGATTGCTTATAACATTTAAAAAACCTGACACTTACATTTGGCAATAACATCCAAAATCACTGTGAATGGGATTAGTGCACCTATCATGTACAATAGTGCTGTTGTGTCACGAATAGAGAGTCCGTTTTTTTCGTGGCCATAGTACAAAAATCCAATTAATAATGACATGAGAAGGGCCTCAAATCCATGGATTAATAACGTTGAAAGATCTCTGAAGTCATTGGAGACTTGACGACTAGGAAAACAGCAACATTGACCATAAGGTACAGTACATACTAATGCCAGTTATATTCAGATACATTGCCCCAAGCACTCTGCTAAAATCAATTCATGGAACTTGCTGACTTTGAGTAGGATGGGAGTTGGGCTGTCTGCTTCTGGGCATCAGGATGGCAGTACCCAAAACTGGGATGCACGTCCCTGAGCCTGGAGGTTCCTGCTGCAACGTAAAGCTGAGGGCTCCAAGCGGTGTGAGGGGGTGAGCCAGCAGAACAGTGACTCTCCTCTGGAGCTAGCTCTGCACTTTCAGCATGCACTCAGTTCTCATCTCATGCTGCTTTCTTATGCTTTAAAATACAAATGGGTACGGTATGTAAGTGTTTATGCTGGAGTTAAGGTTACCTTAATAATACAGTGAACTGCTTTAAGACTCCTGGTAACTGATCACTCGAATGGTGAGGCATGTTGATAGCCTCTTCTGAATTTAAATGCGACCTGCCCAAAACAAATGAGAAAAAAAGAAATTAGTACAGGCTGCAGCTGCTATTCCAGATATGCTGTATGGCACTCTTTTCTTTACCTTTGCTTGCTGAATGTGGTTGCGACATTGTCCCCTTCAGTAACTTTCCATAAGAAATCATCGAAATCTTTGACTTTCTCTAGGAACAAGCTGGCAAGTGTATTTACTCTTTTTCGGCTTTCCATCTCCTTTTCTGCAGTCTGTTTATCGATACTGGTCAAGTCTACTGCAAGACATTATTTGACACGAGTCCATATGCTACAGATGTGATAACTTTATAATATGCTTAGAATCAGAGATTCCATCATGAACAGACAGTACAACGTGTGCATGCATTAAGCTACAATGGTTAAAATTTTATCAGTTACTTAAGATAATTAGAGAGGAGCAGACTGTTAATGTGTATCTTATCTTTGGAGATGTTTCTTATCCGATCAGTCAATGAATCACCGAGAGATCTTGTAATTGCACAATATAATATCATAAACTACTATTTCAGATTTTTCTAACTTTTAATAGTGGCTTGAAAGGGGTGCTGAGAACAAACAGTTTGAATTTCCTTCCTGGCGTGTAGGCATTTATGATCTGTTACGTGAACTTAACTTAAATCACATTTTTTCTTCATTTGCAGAATGACAGTTATCTTTTTTTGTATCTTACAGAGGTGCCGTAAACTTTACCTGCGACTGAGGAAGCCCGAGAAGAATATTATCCAGGGACAACATAAGAGCAGGAGCAATAGTTGTCTTAGCATTATTTTTTATTTAACAAAATGATTTTTTAAATAGTATTTTCCAATGCTGGTATTCAGTGTGGAGTGGAAATACCTAACATTTTGCAGATGCTTTCTGAGTGAACTATTGCTGTAGATTTCACAATTCTCCTTACATTGGGCTGATCATCTCTGTTCAGCCAC